CAAATACAAGGGGGGTCCAAACCTTTCACTTGCCATACCTTACATTCCTGGTTCCCCTTTTTTCTTGGCCCCCTCCCTCTAGCTCTTTCTTGATTGCAAAATATGAAGCATTTTTGCATAATTTCCCCCCATTTCTCTTGCTTCCCACCCATTCAGAATTCCCCATCCCACCCTTTCATTTCCCAACTCCTGTAGCTGTTCTCCCAGGCTCCCACCTCCTGTCCTTTCTCACTTAAAATTATGTCAAAATATTAAGCTTAAACATGTGGTGCGGTTGTTCAAAAAAGAGGGTTAAGGTTTCTCTTTTTGCTAATTACTATTTCCATGTCCTCCCTTTTCAATGTTGGGATAAAACAGAACAGTACTACTTCCCAAAAATTTTGACAGTTATTATTGTAGGTCAAGTTCAATATTCCTCAGCCTCTACTAAATGCCATGTTGCTTAACAAAAAATTGGACCTCCCACTCATGTTCAATGTAACACTTACAAAATTCTCTCATTGTAGGATGTTCGTGAGGAGAAAGAGTTTCAAGTCAGCCATCTCTGTAAAGCACATCATATAAATCCATCACAAAAAGACTTGGAGAAAGTAATTAAATTGATTGGTGAATCAGGTACTAAATTGTATAATAAAACCCCTTCTCTCCCCTGGATACACAGACCTTTGTTTTTATTTGCTTCTTCAAAGTGTTAGGGCAGTTAGATTATGAGGTTTCCTGTTATTGACTGGAGATGTATTAAAGTGTGGGAAGGAAGATTTTCCTCATGGTTTTGAATGTAACACCTCAAACTCCAGATCTGGAGGTCCGGGGTTCAAGCCTCACCCATCGCGTTGTTTCCATAGACAAGGAACTTTACTCCACTTTGTCTCTCTTCACCCAAGTGTATAAATGGGTACTGGCAACATACTGCGGGGAGGGTAACCTTGTGATGGACAAGCATACCATCCAGGGTGGAGTAGCAATACTCCTAGGTACTTCATGCTAAGAAAACCGGGATAAGCTCTGGCCGTTTGGGCCTTTGGCTGGTGTGCACCTTTACCTTACCTTTTTTTGTGTTTGGTGCAATGCCTGTCTGCATTGCACTTGCCTTTTTTATATTTATTTTCTTTAAGCTACATGCAAACAGACACAGCAACTCCCATCAATGTTGTGTCTGTTTTCATGTACTAAAAGTTTGATCAGTTTCAACTTTGCGCAACAACTCTCAAAAATAGCAACAACATGCAACAGAATGTGCAAATTGACGCAACATGTAACATCCAACAATGTTGGAAGTTGTTGGCCAACAATGTTGTATTTGTTTGCACAGGGCTTTACACGTTGAGTGAAAAAAAAAAATAGACTGCTTGCAGTCTGCCTTTTCTCTTAAAATATGTCTAGTTCTTGTATCAGCCAGCGCGATTGCCTCGTTTATCGCAGCTCGCATGCTTAGCTTTCGCGTGCAGTAACTTTGCAAAGAAAATAAGAGACTTCTCACAGTCTAAAAGAAAAGCTTTTAAAGAAACACTGGAAAGGTGAAAACCTTGAAGCGCAACTTTCTCATATCGTTGGGTCTTCCCTTCTAAACTTCTTTGCGCTTTTGCAAAAGGTTTCCTCTTGGCCTTCCTCATGTTTAATTATCATAAAATGCTTGGCGCATGGAACCCTCATTTTGCAGGGGCACCCAACGTCAATTTTCGGAAAATATCTGTTCAGAAGACGATTTGAGATCTCGAATTTTCGGAACATTTGTTGTAAAAATTTCTTGCTTGCCTGCCGCTGCTAGGAATTTCGAACATCTAAAAAGTGGTATAATTGCCCATTTTTAACGGATTTTTACCATAAAGGTCACCTAGAATTTTAGGGAGCCTTTTTTCTGGCTGAAATTTTCGATATACAGTAAGTTTTGATCCCTATAATCTTCGGATCACTAGACTTTCAGCTAGGAAATCCGAACAGATGAAAAATATTTAGGGGATAAAAATATGCCTATATCTACCGTTTAAATACTAAAATACGTTAAAAAATTGCTATGTTTAAGTGGATTTGAACTATATTTTCGTTGGGTGCCCCTGATTTTGCAAAACAACCTCTACTGTGCAGGAAAACTTTGTTGCCAAAATTGTCAAACCAAACTTTCTGCAAAATTTTGGTCCAAAACACAGTGGGGTGTTTTTTTTATTTTTGTTTTTTAATTCAAGGTTCGAAATTCACATTTTATTGACCTTTATGATATTTCGAAAATTTTGATTAAATGCATCGCACCCTTGAATCATGCTCTCTTCCCTCTTTATCTCCCAGGTGCGTCAATAGGTGAGCCTGTGACAGTTGTATGCTACTGCTCCTTGGGTTACCGATCTAGTGCTCTTGCTCAACAGTTGGCGTATGAACTGGATAAACCCGTCCACCAAGAATTGAAATCAAAAACTGTCATATATAATTTGGAGGGTTCGATCTTTAAATGGGCAAACGAGGGGAAAGATCTTGAAGACAACAAAGGAAGAAAAACTGTGTATGTTCATCCTTATAATATAGTTTGGGGAAAGCTGCTTAATGCTGAATTACGGAGTTCAGAACCTTGTGAGTCACGCCAAGAGACTGCTATGCAAACCTCCTTGACAGAAGCAAAGATGTAGTTGTGTTGTCAATCGATTACCAACCGGACTACATGGACCTATAATTTGCATTTCTACCGATCAAATGTAATACTAAGTACCTCCACATGCGACCAACTCTCGTAAGCGACCGCTTCTCTTAAAACTATTTAAAACACAGTTAAAACCGAAAGCCGAAAGCCGAAAGCCGCTGGAAAGTCGTAAACGACCGCGACCACTTTTGGGCGTTACTGTTTCTCAATGTTCTATTGATTTTTAAACCTCTTGTAAATATAGTAGGCCACCACTCGACGCACGGTCTGATCTCAATGTTAGCTGTATGAACTGCGCTAATCGGATCATAAAAAGAACTTTGGTGATGACATGGAACTCCATATATCGTAACTAAGAAATAGCATGCAGTGAATTCTCTTCCGAAAATATGTCAGGACCTTATCCCTGAAGAGACCTCCTGTGATTCGATTCTCGTAAGCGACCACTAAATATTAGGGAGCTTAAGCAAAGACGTTTTTGAGCGACGAACGTCAACCGGAAGTGAGGTTTTTTCCCTTTTTATATTCCTGGACACTACCAAATTTGTATTGCTGAGTTTCTTTTCTCCTATAAAGACGATTTACCTAAGAGTTTCAACCAAACCACAGCCCAATGCTGCAAAAAGTCCACTTCCGGTTGACGTCCGTCGCTCAAAAACGCTGTTGCTTAAGCTCCCTATTAGCATTTGGGGTGGTCGCTTACGGAAGGTTGGACTTTCTACCGAAACATTATCTAGGAGAGCTGCCGTAGTCAATGTTCTAAATGGTACTGACCTCACTGATTAGCATTAAGCCAACAACGACACACACTACTCTGTCCTAGAGATAACCATTGCTCATTGCGCGAGCTTCTTGCCAACGTAACGCCTTTGTGACCTCTTTGGAAGGTAGCCCCAAAAAGAAATTAGGGAAAAGCACTCGCGCTTGAATTTATTCTAAAACTGCATGAAATAAAATAACTTTTTAGTGCTGAAAGCTGGTTTTCCGCTTGTTTGTAAAACTAACGTTGTTGCCGATTGTTGCCCTGATTCGCGCCCTCCTCCCTGTACAACCTTACTTCAGTACGAATGCAGTGGAAACACCCATTTTGTCAGCAATTGCATTACCATAAATTATCGGAGAGTAGTTCATGCCCCTAGAACTTGGAGAACCGAGTTGACTGTTGTCACTGTTAACACAGTACTTTTGCCACGGAGTTGTAGTTTGGGTTTAACCATGGCTCTGAGAATAATAATTGGCGCTTTGAAGAGAGCATACCCGAGAGTGCCGGTGATGACCACAGACGAGCTACAGCATTTAATGAAGAAGACCGCATCACAGTCAGGTTACAGAAAGCTTGTCTTGTTGGTAAGCAATAGATGTTCTCTGTTTGTATACTGTGTACATCGGCAGACCTCGGTGCGCAGTTTCCAAAGAGTTCAGGAGAATCTATCCCTTGTTATCGGGTTGCGTTGCCCTTGCGGTTAGTTTCATTTATCGAGAACTAAAGCTAAAGTATGTACAGGAATCCTTGTCACGGCTTTCGACGCCATCTTGTCGAGTTGGCGAACGCGTGAGAAATTACAATGTTTGTATGAGAATCTAATGTCGAATAATTTCCTTCACTTGGTGACCGATTTGGGGAGTTGGGGATTGCGCCTTGGAATTTGTGAGCATCACAACATCACAATTTGGGTACTAAATTTAAAGGCAAGAGAGAAGGTGTGAGTGTACCATAATAAATCTTCCTAGCGTTGGCAATATCATAATGCCACATAGGAACATTCAAAAGATATCGCTCAGTATGAAATAATGGTTAATAATCTCTTAGGCTCCGGGGAGTTTTGGTAATCATTGATTCATTTATTTGCTGTTCACCGATTTCAATAGTGGTAATTTGTTGTCTTGCGAGGGTGATTTATTTGGAAAGCCGTGTTATTTTGCTTTGATTTCGCGTTATCATGTTAAAACAAAAGAACTATTTAAGAGTCTTTTTTCATTGTTTACTTGATGATACATCACAGGATAGCCGATACCATAAATCACCGACGTATTTCCGGTCGTCGCTTCTTTGGCTCAATTATTTGTGCGTGGCTTAGTGTGATAGTTTGTTGAGACAAAAGAGTTAATGAAAACAGTTTGTTCAGAGGGAGCCCGCACAATCTGTTTGTGTAGTAGCCTGAATTTCATCCGATTACTTCGAATCGTTATTACTCCCTCCTCTCTCAGTAACGTCTGAATGGACCAGCCGTTAATGCCGTCCAGTGACGTCACTACTCCTTGACCTTTGTTAATTCATGCAAAAAGCAAAACACGATTTTCAAGTGGCAAACCGAGAAATATCGTTTGGAAATGTCGGCATGATACAGAACTGCTTTATTTTTTTCGATTGTAGTTCATGTTTAGCGTTCAAACTATCAACTGCATGCGGTACAACTCTGATACGGTTGTACTAAATTCTACAAAAATCGGTCGCAATCACGCAATGAAATAAACACACACATGCAACACTTAGTTCAAAAACACAATGATTTGCTTTAATTGAAAAGAAGCTATTTGGTCCTTAACGAAGAAAAAAAAAAGGAGGCAAGAAAGAAAAGCTAACAGAATCATCACACTTGACGGTAAAAATAGCAAGAAGGTCGAATTATAACATTGATCTCAGAAAACTTCACGTAAACAAAATCACCGGCCGCCGAAACCACAAAGCGGCTCTGAATGAAAACTCACCTGCCGACTCTCCGCGATGATTCTTCATTCGCAGTTCAATTTAGCATTTCAGTTTCGAAGACAAGGCAATTTTGCCGGCTTATAGAAAATGTTTGAACTAACCGAAAGAATGCCAGGGATGCGATCCGCTGAATATCAAATGACAATCCCGCTAAAATTGCTCGAGTTATTCCTTTATTTAAATCTGGTGAACAGGATATATTTACGAACTACCGACCAGTGTCTGTTTTACCAGCATTCTCTAAAATCCTAGAGAGAGTAATGTACAAT